CCCAGCCGAAGGCAGATGCCTAACAGACTGAGCTTTTAAAAAATAAAAATAAAAAAAAATAAATAAAATATTTGCATTTATTCACTTGAAAGAGAGTGAGCGAGAGCACAAGTGGGGGAGGGGCAGAGGGAGAAGCGACTCCCCACTGAGGAGGGGAGCCCAACTCGGGACTTGATCCCAGGACCCTTGAATCATGACCTGAGCCGAACGCTTAACTGACTGAGCCACCCAGGCGCCCCATGGTAAGTTTTAAAATCAAGAAGTGTGGGTTTTGCATCAGTCACTCCCACTAAGTATGGTACTAGCGATGGTTTTTCCATAGATGGCCTCTGTCAAGTTGAAGAAGTTCCCCTCTAATCTTCGTTGCTGGGTGTTTTTATGATGAAAGGTGTTGGATTTTGTCAAATGCTTTTTCTGCCTCTATTGAGATGATCATGTGGTTTTTGTCCTTAATTCTACTAACATGGCATATTGCATTGATTTTCCTATGTCAAACCAACCTTGCATTCCCGGGACATAAGCCTTTTTACATGTGGCTGAGTCTGTTTTCACAAGTTGAGGAATTTGTCTCTATATTTGTAAGGGAGATTGGTGTGTGAGATTTTTTTTTTTCTCATAGGGTCTCTGTCCTACTTTAGTCCCAGGGTAATACTGGGACTTTCCAATAATGAATTGGAAAGTGTCCCCTCCTATTTTTTGGAGGAGTTTGTGGTGGATTGGTATCAATTCTTCTGATAGAATTCAACAGTGAAGACTAGGTTTTTCTTTGTAGGAAGATCTTAAATTACTAATTCAATTTCTCTACTTGTCATACGTCTATTCAGGTTTCCTACTGTTTTCTGGAGTCTGGTTTGGGAGTTTATATCTTCCCAGGACTCTGCCCATTTCATGTAGGTTAAAGGCACACAGTTGTCCAAAAAACATTCCCCGATAGTCCTTCTTGTTTCTGTAAGGTTGGTAGTGATCTTCCCTCTCTCACTTCTGATATTACTAATCTGGATCCTCTTTTCTTTTTCTTGTTTAGTCTAGCCGAACGTTTATCAATTTTGCTGATCTTTACCAAGAACCAACTTTTAGCGTCATTGATCTCGTTGTTGTTTTTCTTATTCTCCACTTCCTCTCAAATCTGTATCATGTTCTTCCTTCTGCTTGCTTTTAGTTAGCTCTTCTTTTGTGTTTTATTGTGCAAGGAAACAATGCGTGCGCATTGCACAAATTCAAGGTGACTGGAGGTTTTTGTAAGGAAACTGTTTTCCTGCCGAAACATTTGTTGCTCCTTTGCTTTCCTTTTGGATTTGGGGCAGATGTAAATGTGAATCTAAAATAAAGTGGCCAGGAGTCCATGGTCACTAGCTGTGTGAGCAGAACTTCAAGTTCATTGTCCTATTCACTTGACCTTTGCATACGTTTAAAACTTTTTTTTCTTTTTAAACAAACTTATTTTTTTAAGGATTTTATTTATTTGTCAGAGAGGGAACACAAGCAGGAGGAGCAGCACACATAGGGAGAAGCAGGCTCCCCGCAGAGCAGGGAGCCCGATGCGGGGCTCGATCCCAGGATCCCGGGATCGTGACCTGAGCCGAAGGCAGACGCTCAGCTGCCGAGCCACCCAGGTGTCCCCATTTAAAACTTTTCGTAATAAAGTATTACAAACATACATATCCTGTGCGTATCAGTCAAGGTCCGTCAGTTTCCAGAAAACACCACGCTGTCTGAACAGAGGATGTAAAGGATTGCTAACTGGACACAGAGTTGTCACCTGATGCTGGGTGAACGAAGCCGTTGACAACTCGCAGCTAGTTACCCTGAAGAACGAAAAGGAGAACCTTAGAGCCCCGGGGAAGGACCCGTGGGCGGGAGCGGAGCGCAGAGCTGGCGGGGCTGCTGCGCGGCAGGCGCGCCAGTCCGGTTTTGCGGGTGTTGGGAGAACAGATTCGGCTGCGGCCCTGGAAGGAGCAGAGCGTTGCTCGGGTGCCGCTCAGGCGGACAGACGCGTCCCTCTCCCCGCCGGCCTGGGTGTCCCTCCAGGGCGCCCCGTCGGCACAACCCGGCAGCGAAGCAGGCGGCGAGCAGAGGTCCGTGCGGGCCCAGGCTGCGCACCTGGCCTCACCCAAACCCCGCGCCGTGGGACGGCCGTGGGACAGCCGTGGGACCACACACCCAGGCCGCGAGGGCGACAAGTCGGGTCTCCGGGGGCGGAGTCCGCAGGTGCGCGGGGGGAGGGGCGCG